ACAGCTAGCTGTTCACTGCTAGCTGTATTTGTGCTTACAAATAAATTACTATGCATTTTCTAAAATGCATCAATTCGATCAAAATTTCACTCTGTCTTGGCAAACTGATGTTGTTCAAAATGCTACATAGRGCAGGTAAGATATTTATTGTTCATAAACTTTCCACATAACTCACTTCAGAAGATCTGAACTGTCTCTTTAAACAAAGTTGTTCAGTGTTTCTGCAAGTTGTGCACAAAGTAAAAGTCATCAATTCCCAAAAATTATTAAATAAAATACAAATGAGACAAAAAACAAACAAACCAAACATTAATCACAAACAAAACTAAAACATGACATCGAAACAAAACCCAGAACCACAAAGGAATGAAAAATGTGCAAAACCTGAGAAGACAAACATCACAGATTGTGTTTCCCTTGAGTGTTTTTTTTTTTTTTTTTCAGTTTTAGTGTTGCAGTCCTTTTGTCCTAATCTGTCCATTTGCTTCATTCTGTAYTGACTGACAGCCAGCTGTGGCCCTCCACCCTGCCCACCCATCCACCCTTKTAACCAAATGCTGAGACATAAACATGATGTGATGCATCCTGCAGCAGTTGTTGAGGGAGGAGCTCAGTGGCTCTGAGTTCCCAAACAGCACAGATGCCCTCCTCAGTGACAAAGTGTCTGTCTTTTCTGTCCACCCCCACTCTCCACTCCCCCCCCCACACACACACACACTGTGTAGTAAATGCTTAATGACAACAAAGGCCGAGGAGTGAAGGCCTTGTGACAGTTGTATCCTTTGTCACAACTTACAAACGGGATCGGTTTCTTCTGCAATCTGATGCTAAAGAAATCACCAAAAATAACAAATAAAACAGGAAGGAAATCTGCAAAATTATAGATCCTGATAAAGCATGTTGCATTTTAAATATACATATTTYTTATCTGTTTTAACCTTGTGTAAGGGTAAAAGAAACACACTGGATCAACTGTTAATTTTATTTGGAACAATTAAAACGTATGTGACAAAATACACAGTACAATACAAGTTTAATGACATTTTGATTGGACCATCATCAGCATTTTTTTCCAAAGCAACATAAGCTTAAATCAAATTTAATACATATTTTAACCTAACATACAATTCTTTTTTAAGTCAATTTTAGTAACAAAACAGCAGCTGAATACTTCAACAAACAGAAAGAAACGCCTCATTTATTTCAGCCCCAAACAAAGAATATATAAATTAATTAACAACAAAATATTTGCAAAATTACAAAAATCAGAACTTTATTGTTGTAGTTCATCTGTTAAAGTATTAATGACTCCACCAGGCTTGTGTTTAATAAATAATAAAATAAGTTGTACATTTTTATTTTACAAAACAAAACCCCTTTTTTTTAACAAGTTACTCATTTGATCTTATGCTCAAAAACAAACTGGAACACTTTTGTTTGTTGGTTTCAGTTTGTTGGGGTTTCAGTCTTGGTCCGAAGCGCCTCAGTCGTCAATGAGATGCAGAGAAACAAAAACAGATCAGCACGAGTTGAACAAGGAACAAAAAAACATGTTCTTTTATTCTGCGACTTTTTTAAAAACCTTCAAACGAGCATGACGTAATTTAAAATAATAATAATTTGATTGCTGCTTACTTGTTCTGAGAAGTCCTGGCGGCAGGTTCTTCAAACCGGTGACTCCTTGAAAGTCTTGTGATGATGAAGAAGAAGATGATGATGATGAAGAWGATGAAGATGATGATGATGATGCGCGGTGGACGCTCAATTTCTCAAAGCAGTTTCTCCTTTCTTGTCCACCATCCTTCCCACCAACATGTCCTGTAAAATCAAACACTACTTGTTTCCGGATAGAATATCCTGAGGTCAGAAGTTTAAAGGCTCTTGTTCCCATTAATAGTTGCTCTTCAGTTCTTCCACATGTAAATATYAGCCTACACTGAGGAGGCGTGGCCTCAATGGCTTTTGTCCAATCAGAGACCTGAGCTTGGCTGCTTGCTTTAAAAGAACCTTTTCTTTATTGATTTAAAACAATTACTTATATA